AACTGTCCCTGTTTCATTTTGCTTACAATATTGCAGAGAACGTCAACTAGTACGTTCCAGCTTCTTTTTAAAATTCAATATTCGCATTAACTGTGAAATGTTTGGGGTTAAATTCTACAAACAAAAGTATAAAAAAGTATTTAAGGCTGTAAAGTGCGTTTGAAATTGGAAAGATGAAAGTACCAAATCGTTGACTTCAACTTCTTTCTCTATTGCGACAATGGTTGAAATTGGTTTACCATGCGGAAAAAAAAAAACGTTTTTGAAACCGGTTAATCCGAAAAAATCGTCTTTGTCGTTATTTAAGATGGTATTCTTCACAGGCCATTAAAAAAATTTTGTAAGATTTCAACCAAAGTTTTAATTCCGGCTACAAAACAAATCCGCGATCAAGCCTGCGTGACATACCATTAACATTTTTGTATTTTGAAATTCCCTGCAATAAGCCACCAGGTCTATAAAGTTTGAGCTGCTCTTAAAATAAACCGTAAACTCATAACATAGTATTTAATTGTGTTATGTGTTTCGGTGTGTTTTAGCCCCTTTTTATACAATAGGTACATCGCTGCACATCTTAAATGTCGCATCCCGTCGTCTAATTGCAATCCTTGCAATGAGGGTTAAATTGATTTTTTCTCCCGTGACAAAGCAAAGTCCGCAAGACACGGGGCACCTCAGCCACCCGGGCCAGCAAGCTGCAAAGAGCTGTTCAGAAACAGGCTGGTGTTTCTCCCTCCCGAGTTTTTTCCCCCTTTGCAGTTTGTCTGATTATTTTTCCCTTCACGTTTTGTCCCAATAGCAAATTACCAATTCTATGAATTGCAAAGCAGCTGCAGAGAGGCAGAGGGGTGGGGGAAGAGATGGGAAGATTGAAAGGGATCTTTTGCAAACACAATCACGTTCTTAAATGGAAATTCAGAGGCTTTAAACAAATCTTACATCTCCCTCTTTCCAGTCTTCCAAAACTCTGCAATCAGAGACATGTTCGACCTGCTATAAAATCCCAGCGTTTTAGCTGAGTTTTAGGCAACGGTCCTATTTTTGAGTGTTTTAGATCAGATTTACAAGGAAAGGCGTACAGATATCTAATCCCTGATCTGGATTTAAAGCGACAGCCGGTGAGTTTCTGTTTCTTCCTTTATGATTTTCTGCTCTTTTTTTTCCACAACAAGTAGATACTGACACCAGACGAGTTTGAGGAAGTGTCTCATAATCTCCGCTTTGAGGTCACAGGTGATTTTCATCATCTCGAGGAAGGCGTGGTCTTTATTTATTCATTCATTCTTTCATTCATTCACGGCTAAAGCTTTAATCACCTGTTGGAAGAAAACTGTATCGGTGTTACCAAACCTTAGCGTGTATTGGCTAAACGTGTTAAAAAACGTTTTATAATTTAGCGTTTGGCCTTGCAGTGGACCAGCCGATTACTGGCTTGAGTATCGACAAAACTAATCTATGGTATTACGATGCAATTGGTAATGCAAATAAGTGACACCTTTTCCTAAATTATCTGGAAAGCTCATTCTAGAGGTAAGGAAATTGGTCATAATTAACTTAATTATTGGTAACAACAACAAAATAGTGTTAATAACAGTTAATAAGTAACCAGTAGGTTTCATTCTAATGTTTTATTACACAGCCTTATAAGATCATTTCAACATTACAATCATCTAGAAACCCCCACAAATGACATCAAAGCATGTCCGCTCTGGACAAAAATTAAAATTGTGAGTAAACATCACGTTGCCATTTGAATTCTATAAAGTATGACTCCCCTGTAACGGCATAGTTAAATAAAAAAAAGAGTAAACTACATATTGTTATAATTACAAAGCAATGATAAATAATAATTGGTTGTGGAAAGATCAAGACTTCTAATGGTAAATAAAACACAGTAGTGTTGATTATAAATCGGAATGATGTTTAGGCATTTAGATTCCCGATATTGCAAATAAAGAATTGTATTTATTTTGCTATTATGTCAATGTATCCAAATTAATGGGCGCACACCTTAACTTCAACTCACTACAAATCAGGTAGGACATGGAGGAGAAGGGAGACGGCAGAGTGAGAAGTGTACCCTTTATAATTATGTATCAAGCTCGAATACCTTGCCTGTGTTCGTCTGGCTTCAGACCCTGAGAAGTTTGAGTCAAACTCACTTAGCCCTCAGAAAAGGGGATATTGCGAATTCCGCATAAACACGCCATCTCCAGGAGCAAGTGTCGGCCTTAGCCAGCAGAGTAGGCTTTACTTAGATGTATACATACTCAGAAGAAAAGGTAAGAAAGCCCTTTTAATTAAGAAAGAAACTGGACACACGAAACCACGCTCTCCTTTGTTTAAAATAACACATATATATATATTTTAAAAAACCCAATGGTAGTTCTAAAATAAGCTAAAGCGAAAAGCGAATTGTCACTAAAATACAGTATATTTATTATTGATCTTATTCAGTAATAAGATTTCTTTAATGTTGCCTTAGATGGGAGATGTCCGCAAAAAAGAATCCAGCGAAACAGTGTATAACAAGCTAAAAAATGCAACACGATAACGCAAAAACTGCACACTACACCACCATAAGATCTCACAATATAAAGGATATGCTTTTGTTTGAAACGGATAAGCTCTTCTGCAGGCAAGCATTTTTTTACAATACGAGGATTGGTAAGTTCTATCGTTTATTTAACTGTTATTAGTTTTTTTTTTGTGTGGGCGATTTTACCCCCCGAATGTTCAGCATTTAACAATGAAGATGACGCAAACGTCTGGAGGCCCCGGGTTATGACATGCAATTCAGGAGTCAGTTTCCGATGGACTTAATAAAGCTGCTTTAATATTTAGTAATTTCCCATTTTGCAGGCTATAAAGAAGTCAGGCTTTCTGGTATGGTGAGGGACCATGGCCCCGACAAACAGAGTATCTGTTGTACTGTGCCAGTCAGAGTGAAGAGTTCGCTAAAAGTGGCCAGATGCTCTCTCTTTTTTTGTGAAGAATATGGCCTTGTCTGAACGAGGTGGATTTTTACAAGGATGTTGGGGGTTACCATGGAGAGCAGATTGAAAGGGATCACAGATCTCGCGCTGAAGGATAGGTCATTCCTCTAAGGAAAAAGGGCCTCTATTTCGGCTTTTAAAGACAAAACACAAGCAGCTATTAAATATAAGACAGTACTGGGCCAAAGTATGTATCCAGACATACAGTACAGTAAAACATAACCGGGCGTACAGCTGTATTAGTCAGGAATTTAAACAAACTTTATAGTGTCTAATAAAGGGTTATTTCTGTTTCAATAAAACGGCAGGTTTTCGTTTTTAAAGTTAGCATATACCGTACATGATGCTCCCATTTGTTTACCTCGTCTGCCTTGTTTACCCCTAAACGAGAAAGGTAGGCCTAGGTTTTTTTTTAATTGGAAACATGCATCTATAAATTGTTTTCCTAACTCTTACATTTGAGCCTTAATCAACAAACACTCCAGCACGCAAATAGGAAGGGTCACAGCTACTGTAACTCTCACGATCGATTTCCATAAGTCAGTAGTAAGTAAACATGTCTCCTCTTGAAATCTAGCAATCTAAGAACACCAAACGCAACAACTAAACCTATGACAATTGTACTAGATACTTTAATACATAACAATAATTAATTTATGTAATGTATTCACTGGAATAACACACAGAGAAACTCAACAGTGCAAGTCATTGCGTCAACTTTTCTTAGTCGATCAAACGCTAATCAGTTATTGGCGTGCATCGGTGTAGACACTAATTCCTCTTATGAGGTCATTCTTCTTTATGACGACTAATGGTCGGTGCTGCGTACTGTATGTCACGTGTTAATGTCTCGCCTGCTACGATGCGTACACCGTCAAATATTATAACAAAATAACCAGCACTTAAGATTTTGATATAACTTTCCTGTACTTATTAACTTTTGCTTCTCTAGCAAATCGCGACACAAAAAGTGTGCAACACAAAATGCGAAAGTTGCTCTTGTAACCGTAATCGTTATTTGTATTATTTTCTAAAACTCAGAATCTACTAAAATCTGACCATAGCTCATACCAGAAAGCCCATATGTGAACTGTTCACATGGTCCAAAACATTCAAACAAAGTAATAACCAAACTCAGTGCTTTTGCAAATAAACTTAATAAAACATCATCCCTCAACACCACAAAGCCGATGCAGAAAACGAATTATGTTTTTACGGTCTCGACACTTTAACAGGGTGTTTACTTCGGTCAATATATACTAAAACAAATCTAATTTCAATTCATGTTAATACAATTACTCAATGTCTATACAGTTGTTATCATCTGAAAAAACAAATGATAAAAACTGCTTTGTGCCAATATGGAAGTATTCCAATACAGTAGACAACTTTTTACCAATGTTAACCCGGTTGTTTTAAGAAAGCACGGAAATGTACTGGACGGTCTACACCAATCTGTAAAGAATTGAAAGTTATTCAGTTTCTTTTAAAAGAGTCGTATTAAGCTTATGGCTGTGATTAAACTCGAATACAGGCTCTTTTTACTCTTGCATGGAATCACTCCTATTGGCGTTTTCAGAGCACTCAGTTGTTTTAGTATTTTAAGAAAAAAAACGAACGAGTATTTTTGATCATCATAATAAGCAGGATTGACAATACAGGAATAATATGGCAGGGGGGAGAAATCATCCTTATCAGTGGCTGCGATTCTTCTGCGACCGGTGAGCTGAAGAGGACGATGGTAACAACTTTTGCTCATTCATACGGATCCATTACTGGTCGCACAAAGAAAAGACCGGCTTTTCAGAAACGGACAGCTGATCTCCAGAAGGGATTTCATCACTGAGGTAACAAATTTCAAGGGCCTAATTGTGCATAACTGCTGCTGGAGAGAGTGGAGCGGTCGCGGTCAGTGCGCTGTTCACACCGTTTCTGACTATTTGACACGTTACACAAACTTTATTTTCTGTTTCTTCAGAAAAAAAAAAACAACCTGGAAACGGTAGGAAATGGAAAAAAAAGTAGCAGGGAGACGGAAAACATTCCCAAGAGCCCATCAGTCTCAGAAGCAGCCCCAGGGAGGAGGGGGTGATCGCAGTTCACTGCATTAAGTGAATGGTTTTCTTATTACTGAGCAGCTCGCCAGCTCTTTTTTTTTGTTCTAAAAAAACACACGAACGAGGCCGTAATCAGCCTCATTCCAAAAGCTGGCTACAGAACGGATTTCCTTCTGAATCTTTTCCAATGAAATCTCTATTATTAGTATTCTTTGAGTTTTATGACAGACATGCATAATGGCCACTTAGTAGAACTACAATAACGGCGTTGCGCGTCGCTCATACTTTTCAGGTGTTTCTTTTTAAAACGTGGGTCCTTCCTTTCCTATCCCCTCGAGACTGGCAAATCTTCATCCGCTAGAACGTGGAAGGATCCTTCTATCTCTCGAGTAATGAGGCGGGGCTCTGAACATTCATGAATATTCATCAGAAACTGTTACACACAACCACACAATTAGCAGTAGTATATTCTAACTTCAAACCCTGGCTAAAGAAGAGAGCTGGAGATGAAACTGTCATTCCCTCTAGGCTAAGATATCTTGTGTGGAGCCAGGGAATAAATGGTGTGAAAGCTCCTTCCAAAAGCCTTTTTTAAAAAGACAAATACATACAGTTAATTTTTTTAAAAACTGGCTCCTAATTCTGTAATATGATAAACAGCAATCCTAAAAAAACAACAACAAAAACATAAAAAACTTATCCTTACCAAATTTAAAATGCAAATGCCAGGGGTGGCTTGTAGGATGATGACCAAATTCAGAGGGTTTTAATCTGCAAACAATGACAGGCATTCATACTTTTAAGAGAAGTGTTGATTGTTTGTAATGTTTTGCGGCTTTGCTTTCTTTACATACATCCCATGAAAATCCACATTCATTTGCATCTCTCTGTTTCGTTAAACAGGGCAAAATGTTCACAATCTGTAAGAACTGTGACTAACAGCGTTGTCATGATTTTACTCTAAGGGAATCAGAGCAGCTATAAGAATCTTTGTCTGAAATTGAGTTTGAGGTTTATTGTACAACCTCAGATAACAATTAGCTCAGATTTTTTCAAGGTCCAGCTATCATATCTTACAAGTAAGGCTATTTTGGCATTTGCATTCTATTAAAATAGCAGAACCCTGAATAGTTTCAAAAAGAACAAATCCAATGACATGCACTTATCTTTTAAATGTGCAAGCACTAACGTATGTGTACAGTTAAAGTATACTTTTGGTACACCACAATGCCTGCAGGAACTCAGAATTTTGCATCTGATTGTTGCGGCCATTTTAGTGTGATTATAAAAACACACGAGATTTGTAACTTTAACACAGTAAAAGTCTGTTTCCTTGTATTGTAAGGAAAGGACTAACCTTTTCTGTTTATCACACTATATGGATAAAAGCATGGCTAATTACACCTTTACATATTGTGTCTGTATTTGAACTTCTAACAGGCTTCAGACATTTTTGTTTTGTTTTTTCATACTGTACTTTCTATCTGCCTGCATTAGGAAGTTAATTGCTGACTTTTAGTTTCAAAGATGAGAGTTGATTTGACTTGTGGTATCATCGGGCTGATCTGCCACCCTAGGAGAAACATATTACAAGCGTAACTGATCATTGGCAGTGATTGTAAAGTGTATATAATAAAAAAAGAAGAAACAAAAATACCTATAATGTGAAATGGTGAATGTTCCTTTGAAGGAACAAGTAGAAAAATAGCGTTTATAGTGGTATAAGGTCATAAAGCATCATTGTCCTTTGCAGCCTTGTACATGTTCTGATGTGCTAAAGGCTGCAAAATCAAGTCCTTTAGTGTGTCTCATTGCTAATCAGAGGAGAAGCTTCTTGAAAGCATTGAGTCAGAGCAGTACCAAACTAAGCTTGCACTCCTCACAGAAATGCCTTGGGGATCTTTAACAACTCATCAGAAGGAAGACGAATCAACAACACAGCACACCAACACACACCACGCTGGGGTGTTTGGTAGACAGGAGCAGGAAGAGGTGATTTTAAATAGGATTCTAACCTGTGATCTTTTATCCTGAAGGCACGTTTTTTACCTAATGAACTGGTGACACCTCATCCTCACATATGGCGCCATTTTCACAGCCCCTCTTTCAGTTTGCTTGCACTGCCTGTATGTTAGGTAGGGCTCGATCCAATCCCCTGCTTTGCATTCAGGGTGATCCTATCCATGGCTGTGGTGACCAGCTACTGTACATGAAGACATATTTATTCATGTTTGGGTAAAACATGAGACGTTTTTAGAGGGTCTGAGAGATAAGCTCCAGCCTTTTGTTATCTGAATATGGATAGGCTGTTTAGAGATTGTTCTTCTGTTATAGAAGATTATAGAAGATTTGGTAATCTGTGCAGAGGAGGCTTATAGAACAGTGTGCATACTGTGTTCAGAGAGCTCATTTAACTGTTCTTTTCCTTTTCTTAAAAAGCAATGCACAAAATGCATGGAAATTGCAGTTTACGTTCTTCAAAAAACAAAAAGTTGCAAAATGCATAGAAATTACAACAAATACTAGTGAATTCAGCAAAACAGTTCTAGTGTTCCAATTAATCACTGCTCAGCGCAGCTAAGTGGTGCTCTGCAGCATACGTACTCATGAATAAGACATTAAAATAAGGGAGTATTCTTTTAAGCATGCCGTTATTCACCTGTGAAGTTTTTGTTTGACTTTTTTTTGGTGATGAACTTGCACACCTCAGCAAGCTTCTTCCGGGGTCTGAAGGGTCATTGACTCAGAAAAAATAAATTGAAAAGGAGAGATCAAATCACAGACCATCCATGAATTAAGAGCAGTGTGAGAAGAAGCACCACTGCAATGCCAAATGCTTATTGTATTTGAAAACCAAATCATGTATCTGGAAACTACCTTGGGAATGATGCCTGTGGGCTGTCCTTCTTCTCTCTTTACTCCAGATAATTATAGAACATGTAGCTGGTCTTTAAGTATAAATCACCACTCTGACAACAGTCATCCGGTAAAGTCAGAAAACAGCACTCAAAAAGGTAGAACTTAAAAAGATCAAATGGGATTAAGAGGCAATGGAAATATCTGATTTAGGGTATTAAACTGACATTGTAAAAAGTACAAAATGGGGAGCCTGCCAGCCTGTTAAAAGTCATTTTGAAAGTAAAAGTAGGAGAGAGGCTCTAAACTTCTTTCACTGGCTGCCAGTTCAAGTCGGTGAAAAAACTAGGGTCAAAACTGGGTAAAAGGCATCTTTGCAAATGTCCAAGAAGTGTAAAACAAAATCAATCTCCTTAATACTAAATCGATTAAATTACAAGTTAATAGTATTCAGGAAAATATTTCCATAAGAATTCTGTAATATGTTTTGCCCCTGGAAGTAGAGAAGGGATTTTTTTGAAGACTTTAAATAGCACCATGAAACCAAAATGTACATGTAAATGTTTAACCTTGCTTAAAATGTACAGACCAATTAAAAGAGTCATTAATTATTTAGCTATTTGGTGAGAACATTAATTTTATTAAAGGGAGACTTTGTATACTCAGGCAACTTCTCCTAAAAGTTTTTGTTTTAGATCATTTATGCAACTTTCTTTCAAAAAGTACTTATCAATTATATCATTTTTCATACCCATTACAGCTATAAAAATGTGTCACATTCAAATTGTCTGGTAGAGCAATTGTCACATAGTTGTACTGTATATTAATATCTTGTTGTTACTGTAGAGTATTAGCAAGGAAAAATATCCACAGACACTGAATCATCAGCCTAGTTTAATTGCAGGTGTTCTATAGCGTGTTCACTTAGACTAGTGGTAAATTCATATGTAAATGCCTTGTAGATTTTGCCCCCAGTTTGTAATGGAGTAACCTTATTTATGTTGGCGTAATGCCTGTGTGAAATGTGTCTCTCTCTTGACAGCTTCAACAGGAATGAAGCAGAGGCAGAGCAGAAGCTAGTTGTGGCAATAACTGATCCTACATATGAGTAAGTTGTTATTTTCTTTATTACTTTTAAACACTTTGTAAACATGGCAAAAAAAGCAAAATGAAGGGATTTTCCATATGCCTAGGGGAGCTTGGACTACCAAAACTGATACTGGTATGTTGCAGTCACGTTAAGGATTTTCGTTGAGGTATATATTGTTTTAATATCACGTCAGAACACTGCCCTCCAAAACAAAAGAGCGAAAATTAAAAACTCCATTGCCTACAAATAATGTCACACTGTTACATTCAGGGCTTGATTCTGTGAATCACATTCCCCAATGTAAACTACATTTAATGATTACAGAGAGCGTTGCAATTTGCAGAGTGTATACCAAACACAGGAGACCCGTGACCTTTAAAGTAACATGATGGATCTCCCTAACCATCCACGACAAGAGCAGAGGTGGGAATTCTGTTTCTCATCTCACATTCCAGTCCGTCTATTCCCAAACCAGTTGGGGCGCCTGGAAGACTTTGTGACTCAAAATATTTAATGACAGTCTTACTCCAGGTTGGGCTGGCGTCTTAGTGAGAAGGTGCCATGGTGGCCATAGATAAACATGTGCTGTTTCAGCGTCAGGGTGAGGGCATAAAAAGTTATTTTTCTGCTGAAATTCATTCCCACAGAAAACCAAGATGCCTGAAATGGTGTTTTACATAATGCTGCCCCCACTCCTAAAACAAAAACTAGAACTGAAGGTGGAGGATGATTTTATTCCTTTTCAACGAGAAAGCAAAATAAAGTTAGTGGATTCAGGCAAATTGCATCTTTTTAACTTCAATAACAGGAAACGGTTATTATACCTGATGGCAGCAGTGTGGAGGTGTGGTAGGAGCTCCTGGGGAGTCACAGGTTCAAATCCCAGGTGAGGTGCCTCTGATGTACCCTTGGGCACGTTACTTCACTATACCTTTAAATACCCTGCTGTCCCAGTAGGTCTCCAAGTCGTTACTGGAAATGAGAATTAGTTTTCAACTGACCTAACTGGTTAAATTAAGGAATAAAAAAAACCGAACACATGCCAAGAGACACGATCAAGCTCAGAAACTGACGGAGCAGATCGGTAAGACAGAGTATGAGTATGAAATGGGAACCCCATCAGGTCATGCTTTTTAAAGCAGCTCCTGCATTTCACTGACGCGACGCACACTGAGATTTCAGGAAGGAAGCCGAGCTAATGAATGATAATGAATCTGAAAGCACGATGCATAATATTGGACACATTCACCCCACACTGATGTGCACCCCCATCTCTAGGAGAAAGTTGACTTAGCCTGGTGTTTGCAATGTGGAACACCTCTCCTGACATACAAGTATCAGCCTTTAAAAGTTTTTTTCTAAATGTTTTGTGTGTGTGTGTGTGTGTGTTTTTATCGTGCAGTGAGAGAGATGTATGCAGTGAGCTGGCATGTCTTTTCCACCTCCTCCAAACATTTTTCTTTGTCTGTTACCATAATAAAGGTCAAACCCTCATCACTGCGCGGAGCTCAGGATTTCTCTCACTGATAAATCGTGTGTGTTTACCACCCAGCTACAGAGCAGAGGGGGCTGCTGTGAGGGTGCAGAACCTACGGCCTGTTTTTGACCCTAATGGCCCACAATAAAAATCAATAAAGTGCATAATGTTTGGGAATTATATTCAGAAGGCAGCACATCCATCACCAGAGAGAGCTTTTAGTTATTTATGTTTTAAAATATATAATCCTAGGCCACTTCAAAGTTACTGCACCATTATAGTCTGAAAGACATTAAATATTTTCTGAGCCTCACGCAACTCCACCTGTCAGAGATCCACAATGTTAGAACTACTTCCAGACAGCTTTGAAAGTTCTGTTCTTCTCCTCTCATTATTGTCCTTTTTGTCCTTTACAGGTAAACCTCAACATAAAATAAATCTTCAGCAAAATGAGACCTCCTCCTTTTGGTTATTTAATTTTTGACACAAGAAATTACAGAACCAAAAATGATATACTTTATTATTACAACAGTCTCACATTAGAACATTTTTTTAAATTTGGTTTTCTCTTACTATCTAACCTAATAAAATACAATGTTGAATTTAATTAAAAACACACAATTGTGAATGTGAAACTTCAGCTGCTTGCTAGTTAGCATGAACTAGTAATATTTGCAACCCAGGAGATGTGATATTTAGTGATGTCTTTGGCTCATACCTTTTTAAAAGCATAGATGTCAGTATATAAACTGTGCAGTGCTCAGGTAAAGCAAACGTAAGCACAGTATAACAATGTACCCAACTCTACAGAGAGAAGTGAGAAAAAGAGAGGCTCACTTAACCTTAGATCCACTCAACCCATAAACCTCTTCTTCTTCTGCAAAGGACCAAAACAGTTTCTGTGTACTCTAACAGTTGAATAAACACTTCAGCTTGTAATAATTTATTAATTTGTGGTTCACACATAGCTTACAGTGGCTTTCCACAAAGTTATTAATGAGTTATTTAATTTTAATTAGAAAGTAATTCATGTTAATGCATGCCTAATCGTGCAAAATTATCCCCTTCGGTCACTGAATGTGTATTTATATCATATTAGGGGGTCTTATCTGCTGTTACATCTTATTAAGCATTTAAGTGTTTACCACTAGAAGTGGAAAACTTGTAGTATCCCTTTAAAACTTGCATGCCTTGAATTTTATTACAGGAGAGCTTCCATTTAAAAAAACAGCTAGAAAGAACAAACAAGGTATATGCCTGTTGCCCCACACAAATCCCACTTTGTTGCATGTTCCAAAGGGACTTCGATGTTTAAAAAAAAACATTAAATATGTTCAAAAATCAAGCTAGTATACAATTTTGCTCTAATTGCTGATTGACCTGTCTGGCTCCAAGCTTGATAGAACAGCCAGTGGAGACAGCAAAAGCTATTGGATTCCATAGTAGTTCTAAAGAAGCAAGGAAACTAAGGAAAGAGGGAAAATAAAACATTTTTAAGCACATTTTCAAAAACAGGGCTTGTTGAAAATGCCAAAGTAAAAAAAAAGTAGATAAAATGTCGGGGACACCATATAGGGAGTAAAAACTGAAGAAAACATTTGACCAGAGATGGGAACTAGCTCAAGATAAGAGCACTTCTTTTTGGATTCTACTGTTTCTTGTCTGGAAAGACCTTATTATTAATCCTTCCCTCCATAGTCATATTGTAACAGTACTGGCCTTAACTGAGTCAAGATCTTCCACTAGCATTTGTTATCTCTCATCCTTTAGGATAGAAATCAAAACATGTTCTGCACTGCTGTAAACTCTCCCTGAGAAATCTGTTTCTTCTTTTGATTCAAGTACTTTAACCGCTTACAAAACAGTTATCTCTAAGCAATGGTAAATTATATGACTCGCAACCAAGATCCGTTTTATAATTTGTGGCAATTTTCTCACAATTAAAGGCAGCTCTGCTGAAGATGTTGCCTGGAGAGGTACACTACAGGAGTGATTAATAATGTCTTCCCCCTTTCTGTAGCGTACTTCTCTTTCAAGTTTTCTTTGTTGACTTGCCTTTAAAGCAAGTACTGTAAGAACTTCAAAATATATATACAGTATTTTTACAGAATATCAGTAGTTTATCCTCCCCTGCATTTTTGCTTGGAGTGAAAGGGTGGAGTTTTATCAAACATAAGCACAGTGTAACAAAACATACAAATTAAAAATAATGATTATAATTATTTCTTTTTTACTGGTCTCTTAAATATAAATCCACAGAATTTAAAGAAAACAAAATATAATCAATTTGCAGGTTATCATACTTCGGCGCTCTACAACAAAGGTGTTTGCTTCATTTTTTCATGTTTATTAAAAAACCGAACATTGGCCACACACCACTACAATAGAATAATTCACTTGTTGTTCAGAAATGATCATTTTTAAATTAATACAGCAAAAATACAGCACAACTGTTTTTGTCTGAGAAGAAAGAGGAGAAAATATTTCCATCTTGAGTTCTCTTGACATTTAATTTATCTGGTCAAAAATCATTTTGCAGTATTAAACAATACTCTTTTACAAATACTCTCCCTCTTAGGAGTATCTTCAGACAAAGCTCTACTTGCTTCATCTGAGCTAAAGTGTTAACCAAACACACACACAGAAACAAGTGTTTATGGCCAAGAGCATTTTTCCTGGTGTGTGCTTGACCAGTCTGTATTGCTGGAGGGCAAAAGACTCCCTGTTAGCAGTGATCACTGTCACAGACCTCTCTAACACTCTGCCACCTTGTTACATATATTTGTGCAACATTAGCAAAGCTCATCTTAACATCCATGCTTCCTTGCTCTTAAAGCTAGCTTAAAATGCTCTTGGAAAACTAAATCCAGTTATAATAGAAACGTTTCCCTCTAAATACATGATTTAAGGGATTTTAATTTCTTAATTTCTGCAATCCGTTGTACTCTTGTCATGGCCCACAAAGTCCTGTTGGGTTAGACAAATAATTGAAAGCAAAAACAGGAAATTTGAATCAAGAACTGTGAATGATCACAGGACTCCTATGCCTATATTACAAAGGTACGGTCCTGCAGGGTTTGGAAGGCCAAAGGTGTTTGTGTCTCCTCTCTTTCATGTCTGGCATTTTGTGACAACTGTGTCACATACTGTATGTGTCAAGACAGCTGTGTATGGATGCAAACATGGTTATTTCCTCTGAAATTATGTCTTTCCTTTTCTATTAACCTCTCTGCACAAACAAAGCAAAAACAGAGCTCATTAAATGAATTCTATAAATCAGGTTATATCTGCATGCAGGAGAAACAGACTAGACCTTTTCAAAGATTCCCATCAGTGAAGTTGTGTGCTCGTCAATCCGTTTCTCTCATTCAGTTTACAATGATTTTTATTGCTTTAAAATAACTGCTACGGGGCAGCACAGTGGTGCAGTGGTCTGCATTGTTGTCTAGCAGTGCTGGGGCCCTGGGTTCAATTCCTTGTGTTTGAGTGCATTTCTTCAGGCACTCCAGTTTCCTCCCACAGTCCAAACACAAGGTGGTAC